GTAGAACCTCGAGAGGATCAATTTCGTGTGACAGCGCTGTGTCGTTCTTGTTCTTCCCTCGTTCGTTAGTTCCCGGAATCCGCTTTTTGAGGAGGATGCTTTCAGCCTGTTTTCTTTAGTGCGGCTTCTATTGGCTTTGTTCTACTGTTATCGTGATAGCCTTTCCGAATTGTTTATGGTATTTTTTCGCTCAGCGCAGAGAACTTATTTATTTGCCAATCAGCCTTGATACTGACTTTACTCGCCAACAGTTGAAATCGTCGTTGGAGGGTTAGTGCGTTGTTTCCTCGTCGACATTGCTCTCCAGTTGAATGGTTAATGTTGTCAATTAGGCACAGATACACCACATCGATGCCTCTGTTTCTATGTTTATTTAGTGGTTCACCATCGAATATTCGTCAAATGGCGGGTGCTCTGTGAGACCATATAACCTGATCTTAGCGACATCGATTTGGTTTTCGAGAAGTAATGTAACAATGACTGAGACATCCGTTGCCAGGCTTGTGATCGTCTGTACGATTGTTCAACTGTGTTCCATCATGGCTCCTCCACTTACACTGCTGCAGTTTCGGCAAATGCTGCGAGCATGAGCCTCGTTCGTTTCACTCTCCAATTCTGAACCGGTTATGTTCTAGTCATTTCCTCTTCTACACCGAAGTTGAAATTTCCTTGGGCGATTGTGTGCTTGAACATCTGTAACACAGTGTTTACCAGTTCCTGGTAGGACTGCTCCACTCCTTCATCGTTCCCTTGCTGTGCGGCGCCTTAACTTCAGCTTCTTTAATGAACTTCTCTCGTCTCTCTGCAAAATTAGTGCGGCGACACTCAGTGGCATGAAGTTTACAGCTGACTACGAGTCCATTGTTTTTCCGTTTATCTGAAGAGAGTAACGGACAGAAGATCTTCATGTTTTAGATATGTTCACACGCTTGCCGGGCACGCCCATTCTAGAGAGCGCTGTATATCGATCTCAGAAGATGCCAACAAACAAGGTCCTATGCAAGCAGCAACCTTCTCGTCTCGGCATCGCACAATGCTGATGGACTCACCGATCTGGCTGCGTCAGACCATTGCATCCACGAACAGCACAGACAGGAGAGAGGACAGAACTCAGCCTTAGCAGGGACCAGCGTGACCTCGACTTAATATCATTTACTCTGACACAGCACCTGCTATCAGCATAGAGTACTTGGACGATCCGTAGCAACTGACCATCGATCCAATTTGTTGACAGGAACGTCCACGGACTGGTGGACAAAATCTGGTCATATGCTTTCCCCAATCTGGGATAAAGCGAATATCTGGTCAGGAATGGTTCTGAACTGAGGCAACAGAACTCTTCTTATATCTTAGAGTCAGTTATTTCGGTGCACCCATTTTCTGGCACCTTTGCGTAGACCTTACCAGGGAGGTTCAGTAAGGTAATGCTCAAACAATTCTAGCACTCC